ACCATTGACCAAAAGAAGTCACATGGCCAAGCTCAGGGTAGCATGTGATATGCCAAGAGGTACTGAGATAGAGAGGCGTGACAAGCTGGAGCCCTTAATGCAGTTAACCTTAATCTGAACTAACTGCAGTCCAGCATTTGGTGGTTGCCATTGGTCAGTAGTAGTGAGGACAAGCTAGAAACTAGAGATCACCAGTCACCGATAGTAGTGTGTGTTACTGTTGTCAGACTGCCGGTCTTCTGAGAGTAATGACTTCAATTGCATTTTCTCCTCTCAAATCTTATGCACATTCTTCTCCAACAGTAGATAGCCAACTATAACCTGGAACCATGCAAGAAAGGGGATTCTAGGAAATATAGTCCTCAGTTTAAATGGGAACGGTAATGCCAACTTAACAAAACACCATCCAGCATAGTGCACCCCCTTTTTTTCCCCTTTATCCCAATCCCCACTTCCATTCTTCTACTCTTCTCCCTCTTGGAGGCACTCACTTTAATATCTTTGATGTAGCTTTTATTATGTATATAGCCTCATAAAATATGTGTGATCTTTTGTGTATGTTTTTAATTTACATTAATGATAATGCATTTTGTATCTTACTCTGTTTCCTACCTTTTTCTATTGAACTGTTTGTTTTGAAATTCTGTCCATGTTGCTATAGGTACCTTTGTTTGTTGCTTTTCATTGCTACAAAATATTCAGTGATATTTGTCTGCTACATTTTACATGCCCATTCTTCTAGCGGTGGACCCTTAGGTTGTTTTCAATTCTAAGTTCCACCCAGGAAAAAAAAAAGTCTTATACACATTCCCTAATGGAGTTGTATAAAAATTTCTCTAGAATTTATATCCAGGAGTGCAATTCCTTGATCATAGGATATATACATTATTAACTTCACTAAGTTATGCAGAATAGCAGTACCAGTTTACATTATACTGGCATTACTTGAGAGTTCCTGTTTCCCTGTGAATCAGTTTTCCATCGCTTTGTGACTTAGTGACTTAAAACAACACTCACAGCTCTGTAGGTCAGTAGTCCAGGATGGTATGAGTGAGATCTCTCTACTGAGGATCTCACAAGCCTGAAACCAGTGTGTCAGCTCTCTGAGCTCTCTATGTTCTCATCCAGAGCTTGAGGTTCTCTTCCAAATTGTTTCTTGCTGTTAGCAGAATTTAGTTCTTTGTGGTTGTAGGACTGAAGTTCCCATTTTGTTGCTGGTTGCTGGCCAGGTTGCTCTCAGCTCCTAGAGACTGCTCTAAGTCCCTTTCCATGTGTCCTTCTCCATCTTCAAGCCAACAACAGCATGTCAAATCCTTCTGTACTTCAGATCTCTGACTTCCTCTTCTGCAGCTGTAGAAAACTTTCCTACTTCAAAAGAGCTTATGTGATTAGATCAGGAACACTCAGAAAATCTCTGAATCTGATTTAAAATTTAACTAAATTTGTAAAAATCCTTTCACATTAGTGCCTAGCTTAGTGGTTCAATAAACTAAGGGCTGAGAATCTTGGGACGCATCTTAGAAATCTGCCTACCACATCCTGAATCTGCCTCTACACTTGATATTTTACAACTTTCTAATCTTTGCCAATCTGATATATGTAATGAATGCTTTAAATGCCTTGTTTTAATTTGTGTTTCTCTAAATTTGTAGTGAATTTGAGTGTTTCTTCATACATCTTAACCATTTGACTTTTCCTTTCTGTAGATCTACTTTTCATATCCCTTATCCAGTGGGGGAGCAGCTTATTTTCTCTTATTTTCTCCACAGGAGGTCCTTATATTTTCTGTCCATTAGTCATTTGTCAGTTTTAGATATTGAAGATATTTTATTCTTAATCTGTTGTTCTGCTAACTGACTGTATCTTCCTTTATTAAATAGAAATCCTTAATTTTAATGTAGTCATATTTGTCAGTTTTTCAATTTATTGCAATTTGAGGATCTTGTTAAATTTACCCAAAGTTACAAAGTCAGATACTTAATTCATGTATTTTTATTTTTTGATTACTAACAGAGTATTTAAGATTGCAAATCTTTAAGCTATAATCACACATTAGTAGTTTTTGACTCTGTCAGGTCCAGTAGTTACTTGCTTATGAATGCTTTTTTAAAATTGAGGTGAAATTCATACAAGATAAAATTAACCCCTTTAAAGGGTACATTTCAGTGGCATTTAGTACATTTACAGTATTATGTGACTACTACCTCTAGCAAGTTACAAAACATTTTTGTTATCCATTAAGTGGTTCCTTCCCATTTCCCTTCTTCCCAGACCGTGGCTCTCACCATTCAGTCTCTAGGAATTTACCTATTCTAGATATTTCATATAAATGGGATCATACAATATGTGACCTTTTATGTCTTTCTTTTATTTAGCATAATGTTTTTAAGGTTTATATCCATGTTTTAGTATACGTAAGTAATTCATTCCACCTTATGGCTGAATATTATTTCATGGTTTTTATGTATTACATTTTGTTTATCCGTTTATCCATTTTTCCACCTTTGGCTATTGTGAATAGTGCTATTATGAACATTAATGTACAAGTATTTAATACTTGGTTTTAATTCTTTTAGATACATATCTAGTAGTAGAATTGATACACTGTATGTCTGGTAATTCTTTATCTTTTTTGTTTGTTTGTGTTTTTGTTTTTGTTTTTGTTTTTAGTGAATGTACTAGGGATTGAACCTAGGACCTTGTGCATGCTAAGCATGCCCTCTACCACTGAGCTATTACCCTCTCCCTGTAATTCTTTATCTTCTTAAGGAACTGCCAGAATGTTTTCCCAAGTAACTGTACCAGTTTATATTTTTAGTTTCATTTCATTATGGTCAAAGAAGATAATCTGTCTGATTTGTTGAGACTTGTTTTATGTCCTAGCATATGGTCCATCTTGGACAAGGTCCACGTACACTTCAAAAGAATGTGCAGTCTGTTGTTGTTGGGTGGAGTCTATCATTTTGAAGTTTCCTCTTTCTTGTTTCAGCATTTGTTTGGTTACTTTAAACCTTTGACTATTTTCCAGAGTTCTCATAGTTGATTCTCACAGTTTTTACTCATCATTTTCAATTTTTCTGTGAGGGGATACGCATTCTGAGCTACCTGTTCCACCATTTTTGCTGACATCACTCTCAGTAATTACTTTTTTAAAGAAATATTTTATAATGTCCTTTTAATATCCTGAAATAAAATTTATAGGTAATATAACTTAATAGATACAGAAGTTTTAAAAAAAATCAATGTAATGTATTCATTGTAATATAAAGGAGAACTGAAAGGAAGTAATTTATTAAAAAATAGTATGGGGGATGGTTATAGCTCAGTGGTAGAGTGCGTGCTTAGCATGCATGAGGCCCTGGGTTCAATCCCCAGTACCTCCACCAAGATAAATTAAAAAAAAAAACCAACCATAATTACCCCTACAAAACTCAAATAAAAATTAGTATGAAATCATACTAATTATGCTTACATATGATACTGGAAGACGTAATTAAGTAGTGGTATGTTTGTAACTATTTAAACAAGTTAGATTTAAGAGTTATAAGATCAGATTTCATTTTGTACAAATGCTAATAAATGAGAGACTAAAATCGCATCCTAAAGATTAGACCTTTTTATATATACAGGAAATGAGAGAAGTCACTTTTAGAGAAGTCAGGACAAAAACACCAATACAAATTGTAAACTAAAGAGGTGAAGGAGACGAGAAGAGTATAATATTCTTATAAATATACTGAGACTTATTTGAAATGTAGTTATTTGGATAGTAAAGAAACAAGAGAACATATCTTTTATTTTGAAATCCAAACACAGGTCAAATATTTTGGCCTTGAGTATTAAAGTCCTTGAAAACAATATCCTTTAAGTGATATTGGGTTTCAAAAATGAATTTTTAAAAAGCAATAATAGGACATTTAAGACCAGATTAAAGTAAGTTTTAAAAATAACAGGAAACTATAAAATAAATAAATGATTTCTGTTGGTGATTTTACATTAGATTTCACATTCATATACATACATGATTTGCAGTATTTTTAGAACAACTGATCGAATAAAATAAGATACCTTCATTTCATGATTTTTATGATTCAGTAGTTGGTACTAAGTCTCTTAAAAGGGATCTTACATCCTCTATTGAAAATTTTATATTGGCTTTGTTGCTTTTACAGTAACTGCACCATTACGCTAAGATATTTTCAGATCACAATTTGAAATACAAAAGTAGGTAAATTAGCTTTCTACCCTCAAATAGATAATTGTCATAACTTGATCCAGAAGCTTTCTTAAGTAAACTATTTAAATTGTTTGACCTCCAAGTCAAGTTTTTATCTTAACTGTTATAAATGTTGACTGGCTTGTTTCCTACCAGTTTCAAATGGAATAAACGCTGTCTGTATTGTAAGTACATAAAAATCTTTAAATCGAATTGTTCATCGTCTCTTTTAAAGATTGGGTCATGCTTTTCTTATCTTTGAGGTGTGGTAAAGATTAAATGACATTACGTGTTTAAAGTTATAATGTGTTGATTAGAATCTGTATTAAAAGCGTTGTTATTAACAATTTAATAATATGACAAGACATGTTTTACAAGCTATTCCCTTGAGAAAATTAAATCTCAATTATCGATCAGAATTTTAAAAGATTATATAATGCCTCACATTTAAAATTTTTAATTCACTATTGCTTCAGCTTTCCTCTCAATCAAAATCAGTTTTTAGAAAGAGTATATTTTGTGACAAAAGTACTTTTGTCCTTTGGTTGTTGTATGTTTTGAAAATATGGAGCAAACTTCCTTGACCTTAACATGTTCCAAGTAGGGATTTTCTCTTTGAAATGTGTATGTGAACTGCCTTTTTTTTTTTTTTAATGAGAATGACCTGACCTCATATATGTTTAGTTGCATTATGCTTTATTAGTTGTGGCACAAACATGAATGTGAAAAGCAGAGCAAAACATGTAATAAATAGCTTTTTGTGGCTTGTGTTTTTCATTTGCAGCCTTCAAGCAAAATAAAAGTACCTGAGGAGAATTTCTTCAATGTTCCTGCATTTTTAACTGTCTCGGGACAACTTCACCTAGAAGTGATGTCAGGGTACAGATTTTTCTTTTCTCTTACTGGACTACTGATTATGGACTGGGCAGGAATGAAATAATGTTTCCTTTCCCAGTGCTAAAAATTGAAATTAGTGTTTTTGATTAGTCCACTTGAATTCACCAAAAGTACCTTTAGACTGACAATTTGACAATATCAAATATCAAATTTCTTACTAAAAAAAGTCACGTAAGTCTAAGACACTTTTGTTTTTAGTGATAAATTTAGCACTGAAAATATACAGTTGTGATTTTTTTCTTTTTACTAATCTTTCATTTGTTTAAGTCTCAAAATACATAATCAAAATACAAGTGTCATAAAAATAAAGGCAGTTATAATTTACGCCTGGAAATTATAAGAGAGGTACGTGAAACAGATGGGGAAAATTTTTTTAGATTATTGGTTTAAATGAGGACAATTAACCCACAAAATCATATGAGAGATGTGTAACCAATTAGAAAGTATTCTAAGTTAGATCACACTAATTTGAGCCACTCTCAGAACTGGAAAGTCACTATAATCCTTTCAGCTCTATTTTCCTTCTTTTGGGGGGATTGGATAGGAAAATCTTTAAAGTCCTATCTAAATCATATGTGCTGTGATTTTGTGGATATGTGTTAATGCTGACTCAGTGAGTACTGAGTCTCCTAAAAGATATAAATACCTTTGTTTTCTCATACAGAGCTTGAGACTTAAAAAATCTCTTTAGGAAGTAGCTCCAGTGAAACGGGAGTCTGTGTATTCCCCATTGTCTTTAAAATGCGTTGGTGGAAAAACTCAGGGGAAATTTAATAGAATAGTGTTCATGTTTATTTTTTTACTGACTTTACTGGCAAGATGCAGAGTGTCAATGGTGGAAGAAAGATGGCCTTGAAAATAATATATATTTTACTTAGATTCTTTTCTGATTTATCTTTGAGAAAGATATTATTTGGTAACTCCAATAACCTAATAATTGACATTTTCAAAATGCCATGCAGAAAACTGCCATCATAATAAGCCCTGTAAGATTGTAAGATTTGCAGAGCTCTGTGTATGACATGGGAAAGGCCGTGTGTCACGCATGTCATGGAAAGTTCCTTATGCCTGTCAAAATATAAACTTTAAAAAAATTCAAAGCACGATTCATACAAATATAAAGTGAACATGTATCAAATATTTTATTCAATTCATTAATTACTGAGGAAGTAAGTAAAATAGTAAGGCCAGTTCAAAGAGCATTTAGGGAGCTATGTATTCATAGGCAATTTAATAAAGGAATTTCAAAATAAGGTTTCTAGTTTGATTACAAACAGGTTAATGTCCTACAGACCAATAGACCCTAACCTTTGAAATTTTCTCTTCTACCTGACAGAAATGATTTGCCCCTCTGTTGGACAAAAATCTAAAAGTTAACACATAACTTTACTTAATCTGGGATATTTAGTTCGATAGTAAATAGAATAATGGAGCAAAGTTCATTCCCCCACATAATTAAATAACCTTTGAATGGGTCTGTCTACCCTTGTTACCTTGGAAGATGATGCTGTCTACCTTTTGGTTTTATCCAAGTTTTGAGTACTCTGTCTTACCAGCCTTTCATTATTCATTTCTTTTATCTGTAGAGTTAGAGGCAGGGTGTATACCCCCTCAGAATTGTCATAATATGTGAAAGATATAAATTTACCAAGGGTTTGTTTCTCTGTTATTGTATCACTGATGCATTAAATATGGTCCCTCTTTCCCAGTAAAATGCAGCGAACCACAGAACAGTGCACAATGAAACTTAAAAAATTGGCAGAATATGAGGTTTTATATTTTATAATGTGTTATGAAGTATTTCTGATAGTGTCAATCAAATGTTCCTAGCTTAATAGTTCTAGGACTATTAATATAACAGTACATCATGTTTCTGGTTAATGCATGATTTAATCTCCAATAAGAAATTGTTAGTCATCTTTCCTTCAGCTTTATTTTTCTAAATTTTATTTAGCAGATTTTTTAAATGGAGTAAATGGTTAACATTTTCCAAAAGTATATCTGTGTTGGTTTAGTAGGTTTATGGCTCCATTTTAAAGTTTTATTTTGTTATTTTTTCAAAATTAGCTTTCTATTTTTTAATAAATTTTAACTATAGAAAGATTACAAAGATAGTGCAAATTTCTCGCATACCTCTCCCCCAGTTTCCGCCATTGTTAACATCTTACATTACCATGGTACATTTGAAAACTAAGAACCCAATGTTAGTACATTGCTACTAACTAAATCCCCAACTTTATTTGGATTTCAGAGGTGTTCCATCAATGCCTTCTTTTCCTTGGATTCACTTCAAGGTGCCATATTAAATTTAGCTGTCATGTTTCCCTAGTCTTACCCAGTCTATAACAGTTCTTGGTCTTTCCTTGTTTTTCATGACTTGTAGAAAGTATCCCAATCTGGACTTTTCTGATGTTTCTCTGGAGTTTAAGGGGTTCGGAGAAAGAATACCACAGAGGTGAAGTCTCTTCTCATCGTGTCATGTCAAGGGGGACTTGACGTCCATGACATGCTATTAATCCTTATCACTTGGGTACGGTAGTGTTGCCACGTTTCTCCACTAAAGTGTACTATTTTTCCTTTTCCTGTATACTGTTCTTTGAAAGTGAGTTACTAAGTGCATAGCCCACCTTCACTGGAGGTGGGAGTGTGGTGTTGGGAAGTGGGAGATGGAATTAAGCGCCATCTCCTGGAGGGGGGAGTATTTGGAAGTCTTCTGTGTGGATTATTTATTGTCTCTTCACTCTTGTGTATTCATTTATGTCATCGTTTACATCAGGATGTACTGATGTATGTTTCATGGTTTGGGTTGTACTTTGTTGCTGTGTTTATTTTGTTGCTTAGACTGTTGTAGTTTTAGCTGTTGGGAACTCTTTAAGAGTAACTCTGGTATCCCTGTCACATGCCCCTATCCTTCTGTCTTTTGAGTACTTCCTTATTCTCTGGTACTGTAAGATACCCCAGATTTGTTTGTTTGTTTTTTTATGATTAATGAACCTATATTTAAGCAGTATTATCACTCAAAGTCTAGTTTACTTAGGGTTCATTCTTGATGGTGTATGTTCATTGGGCTTGGACAAGTGGTGTCACACAGAATAGTTTCACTGCTCTAAAAACCTCCATGCTCCTCCTATTCATCCTTCCCTGCTTCCTAACCCCTGGTGACCACTGATCTTTTTACTGTGTTCAATGTTTTGCCTTTTCCAGAACGTCACGTAGTTGGAATCATACATTGTATAGCCTTTTCAGATTGGCTTCTTTCACTTAGTAATGTGCATTTAAGATTCCTCCATATCTTTTCATGGCTTGATAGTTCTCTTTTTCAGCACTGAATAATATTTCATCATCTGGACATACCATAGTTTGTTTATTTATCACCTACTGAAGGGCATCTTAATTGCTTACAAGTTTTGGCAGTTATTCCAAACTTACTATTTATTTTCCTTACCATGGAATCAAGCATTTCTCCCAGAAGCCTTGTTTGCTTTTATTGGAAAGTGGTGTTTAGAAACCAGAATTTAGTCTCTAGGTATCTTGCTACTACTGGGGGATTCTAGTTTCTAAGCCCTCTCAGCAGACAGAGCTATAAATATGTTTCTAAATAAGAGAAAGCTGTGTTTTCATTACTTTCTGCATATAAATGTAATATAAGTGGAATGTTCATTCTGAAAGAATTAGAAATGTTCCAAATTGCAAAACCTACACTTAAAAAATGTCATGTATTAATAAAATTTTCCATTTTTTGTGAGTTAAAGCCAGAATTTGAGGAAGGCTTAGCCTAATTGTATTTAAAAGAATTGTGGATTATTATTGTTTTTCTTTTTTTGTTGATTTTGTTTTGCTTTTTTCTTTGTAAATTTTGTTATAGGTGTTTCTTTCCTTATGATTTTTTTTTTTACTAAGCTGTGAAGTAAAGCGTATTTCAGGATGAAACTGATGCTTTCCTTTTAAACATTGCTATTGAAAGTATAAATTAGTGTGGCCTCTCTAGAGAAATACCTTTGCACTCAAAATTTTGTTCCTAAAAACTTTTCTTAAGGAAATTATCTGAAAACTCTATAAAGATGGTGTAAAAAAATATTGGAAGCAACTGTATACTAATGAAAAATTACTAACAATCTAAGTATTTAAGAAAATTGATTAACCCTCAGTATACCGGGAAAATATTCATCACCATTTACCATCTGGGAGTAAGGGACCTTATTTTTAATAAATATCTTTAAGCCATCTTATGAGTAATTTGCAGAAATAAAAATAAAGGGGTAGGGAAAATCAACTTTTAGAATTTTAATAAATATTTAAACATAGCAAACTCAAATTTTTAAGAACTTTGACAGCTCATAATTTTGTTAAAGAGTGGATGGCCATCTTTTTTGCTCCACAAAAGCATTTTTCAAAGAACTAGAACAAATAATTCTAAAATGTATATGGAAACAAAAGACCCGAATAGCCGAAACAATCTTGAGAAAGGAGAGCAAAGCTGGAAGTATCATGCTCCCTGATTTCAAACTATACTACAAAGCTTCAGTAATCAAAACAGTATGGTACACAGATAACAGACACATAGATACAGACACATAGATCGGTGGAACAGAATAGGGTGCCCAGAAATATTGTCAGTTAATCTATGACAAAAGATAAGAGTGTACAGTGAGGGAAAGATAGTCATCTCTTCAATAAACAGTGTTGGAAAAACTTGACAGCTACAGGCAGAAGAATCAAACTGGTTTACTTTCTCACACCATATACAGAAATAAATTCAAAATGAATTAAAGACTTAAGTGGAAGACATGAAACTTCCACAAGAAAACAGACAATATGCTCTTTGACATCAGTCTTAGCAATATTATTTTGGATATGTCTCCCTCAAGCAAGGACAAAAAAAGTAAAAATAAACAAACAGGATTACATCAAACTGAAAAGATTTCGCACAGTAAAGGAAACCATCAGTGAAGCAAAAAGGCTGCCTCCTGAATGGGAGAAGA